ATATAATATATATTTGAAATCCTTTCTTTATATTATATTGCTAAGATAGGGAAGAAATTTCATCAATATTATCATTATTGATGATCACAAAAAAATACATATAATAATTATTGCTCATTACTGCTTTAATGAAAAAATATCGATAATTATTCTAAATAAAATCAATTATTATTCATTTTCAAAAGAATCCCTCACGTCATGTTTTTGTAGATATACTTTATAAAGGGGATTAATTATAATATCACATAAATTTGTATTCTAATCTAAAATCTTTTTATTCGATAAGTCTCTTAAAATGTCTTTATTTTAGTATTTTATAAGAATAAATGCGAAATACCAAACTTTTACGTTGATTTTCTTTTTTTTTTAAATATTATTGAATCTCTTAGGTTATCGGGTAATTAATCATTAACACTAAAATGGCTATTCATTGGATATGATGCTTAATTATTCAAAACAATTTTCATTCTATGTGGTGAATATTAGATATTTCTTTATCTATTATTATGCTAATCTATTTTTTAGTTGTTTTCTTTTATTTTGTTTAGATTTGCTGTAAGAGTAGTATTAAATTCTTGTTATTTTGGTCGTTTAATACTTATTTTTAAATGACCTGTTATTTTTTAAATTATATTCTAATATGAAAAAAAAATTTCTGGAATGGTTAAAATCTTTTAGCTATTTTTAGATTTAATTAAAATGAATTCCCTTTATTATCAATAATCATTTGCAACTTAAAGTTTATTCAATTAGTGCAAATCAACAAAGTAAATTAAATAAAAATATTCTTATTCTGGCATAGGTAATTTAGGAATTGTTATCTCAGAATTGGAATATTTGTATCTTTGATTGAGCTTGGTCAATTATTTTTCATTTAAATCAAATTCTATTAATAGATATTAAAATTATATCTAATAAATTAGTTATTATTCTAAACTTATTGAGTGATTTTACATTCTAAATAAAAAGATAGAGTAGAAATGGAAATCATGCTAAAAATATCGAATTTAACATCCCATTAATCTTTCCCTTTGAATAAATATTAAGAATTGACTATTTTTTGCGAATAAGATATATTTTAAAATTAATTTAATTGGTATAATTTAATATTATCAATTGAATTTACTTGTGATTTTTGTATCTGCATTTTACATTCTTAAGTCAAAAATTAATTTTTTTACCTAATCAATCATTTCAACTTCTATTGCTTCTAACAATTTATTTGTCAGTGTTTTATTTGATGTTTAATTTATTTTAGAAATTAAATTTAAGCTGCTTTCCATAGCTTATTGGGTAATATCTTTCATCCTCTTGTTAAAATTTTATTTCATTAAGAAATTCTTAAATTCTTGTTAAAATTTTGGAGAGAATGAAATCCCATCATCATAGATCATCCCTTTATTTTTCATGTTGCAAATAAGTTCCTTCACAAATTACTCATTTTAAAAATTCTATATTTCTTTAATATCCTTCAATAATTGTTCTATTAATTCCTAATTAAAATTAAACTATTCGATAGCCTAATGATATCATTATTATAATACCTAATTAATCCTCATAATTTCACTACTTGAATTTTAGATTCGGCGAGTAATCAAATCTTATTAATATTTAAGCTCCTTCTGTTGAATTTCTAAGTCGTTTTTCATAATTTTAGACTACTATTATAGTGAGAGAAACTTATTCAAATACTCCTATTAAAATACAATTTCTAATGGTTCTGTATATAATATTTAAGGTCTTAAATCATTCAATGTTTGGGTAATGCTAGGTCTCATAACTATTTAATAAAACTAATTCATAGAGTGAGGGTTTGAAATTTACACTTAATTACAAGCATTTTGAACAGTTTTATTGTGAATACTAAAATATTTTTGAAGATGAGACTATACGATATTATTTGTAACTATTTTTTAGACTTATTGTTGATCGCAGAATAATTCAAAATAAAGATCTAGAAAAATAATTTTTTTTTAGACTTCTTAATCTTGTTTAAAATAATTCCAAATAATATTGGAAAATTTTTGTAATTCATTATTAAGAGCTTACTTAAATTAATTATATTATTAAATATCGTTTTTTACCTAATCATACTTTTTATTTCCTTCTCTTTAACAAATCTCTACCAAATCTTTTTTAATTTCATAAACATTTTTTTCAGATTTAGCTTTGGCCATCTATAACTTTATAAACTTTAATGATGCTTAAACTAGACTATTATTAAATCCTTCAACAGTTCCTTATGACTATTTGGAGCACAAATTAATTAACTGAAGAATTTCAGAAGCTGTTGACTCAGATATAAGGCCTAGGTTTTTTTAATTTTATATGATTTAATTTGCGACATTGAGAATTTGAGTTTAGTTATCAACATTCTTTGTAGAATCTGTAATCTTTTAAAGAGTTTCATGTTAATTTTATAAATTTTTCTTTTCTTAATTGGTCAACCAAAATCCTGCTTTTTCCAAACCTTCTCTTGTAATGGAAGGGATTTTTTGTAAAAACTCAGAAAGTCCAATTTTCTTTAAGGATTTAATCATTGAGCCACCAAGTTTAAGAGCTTCTTAAATACCAGCTTGTCCTGCCAAAGCCAATGATGTGGCAATATTAATGGATTTTTATTTTCCCCAAGCTCCCCAATCAATATCGATCCCTTTCCAAGCTGCAGTAACTGAATATATCATATCCGAAATTCCTTCAGTAATCAATGCTTTTCCAATGGGTAAAGCTACTCCGCAAGTAAATGCACATATTCCACACCCGATAACAAATTAACCTAACCCTATTGCAAACATTGCAATATAATCACCCCATTTTTTCTCTTTTTTTATCTTAGTAAGTTTCCCAAACTAAGGTAAAGGTCCATCATCAATAACCTCTTGCTAATCTTTAATAGATTGCTCTGATTCTGCGTTCTCCTTTTCTTCTTTCGTAATTACTGGTTACCAACTTAAATTTAGCTCTTCCTTTTCAGATTGGAAGTTTTTTAATGTGTTTAAAAGCTCATCAATATTATCTATTGCTTTTTAATACACTTTTAAATGGTTTTATATTTTCTAATCAACAGCATCTTTTGAGACTTTGCTTTATTCCAAAAATTAAACTGCAGATATTTTTTGATTTTTTGAATCATTTATTAAGTTTAACTTTTTCATTTGTGAATCTTCCTATTAAATATTTGTCTATGAAGGTTTGTTTATTTATTACTTTTCTTAAAACGAATCTACTTGAATTCTATTTAATTTAGCAGCTGTAGCAAATCCTTTTTCATCATCAATTTTATTGTTAAACAATGATTTTGCCTACTATAATGATTATATTCCGTTTTATATTTCTTCATTTTAAATTTCAAATAATCCTTTAAAATAGTACACTTAAGGATCGCAAATAGCTATTTCAGCTGCCTTTTTGAAAATATTTAAATCTCCATTTTAAAGTCCCTAATATATCAAATTTTTTGGATTTTACACTTCTTTAGAAATCAAAACACTTTCGATTTCATCTTCTTTTATTCCTTTATCTTAATTTTGTTCCAAATAAAGTCCCCATTTTTCCTCCAAAGCTAGATATTCAGCTCTATGTGTTTTAATATTTACCTAAGTCTTTGCAATATTGAAGAACTTTTCAAAACATTTGTCTTCATTTTGTAATTTATCCATCTCTTCCTCTATCTCATTTGAATATTATTATTCATTTAAATCTCGAAAAAATATAAGAACATCTAAGTAAGTATAATTTTATTGCTTTTAGTTATTTTTATAATAACTTATTGCATCTTCCGGTGTTTTAATTTAATTTAATGTTCCCAGATATAGATTTGTTTAGAAATTTACTATAAGTTAGGCTGTACCCTATTAGCCTTATCTTCCAGCTCTACCAAACCCTTAAAGTTAAATTCTAACATTACGAGGCAAAAAAGACATAATGACATGCAGACCTCCATTAGTTTCCAATTCTTTATTAGCAGTCAAATCTGTTCCTCTTCCAGCCAAATTTGTAGCAATAATAATTTGATTTGGACCAATTTCTTTTGATATTTATTAATTATCGTCAACATAAGTGGTAGATTTAATATTGTAATTTTTTAAATAACCTTCAATTTTATGAACATCTTCAATAGTTCTATTTATAATTAGTACAGCTCTTTTTTTCTCCAACTATTACAATACTCCTTTTGATATTTCTTCAAACCATTCATTCTCTCCTTAGGCTGCTATTCCTGGCTCTACTTTCAAGAGACTTTATTTATAAGGAGGCATGAAAACAAAGTCAACATTGTATTTTTTGGCTAATAAATTTTGTGTGATTTGGGATCCCAATGTACCTGTTAGACCTAAAAGTTAATGCTTATATCTGTTAAAGAAACCAACATTAGACAATAACTTAGTGCTAATTTTTAATGGAGTTATAGAAAGACCATGTTTCAATTAAATAAATTAATGTAATCCTTTCTACCATTATGTATTATTCTTATGGACAACTCCTGTATTTTAATAATCAATAATTCGAACATTATTATTATCAATAAGATAATGTTAATTTTCGTGGTAATCATATTTAGCCATTACAGCATTTTCAATCCAAAGTTTCTTCATAAAGTTGATATAATTTAATCGAAAGGCAGGTATTTAATTTTATAAGGCTTCCTTTATTTAAATATCCAAAGCTTTTTAAACATAATCTACTAAATCAATACAATAATAATCTTTTCCGTCTATTATCATCACTTTTCTATCTGTTGATAGATTTGGCTCTGATTTACAAATTTCATCCCAAATCAATCTAAGTATTTTGGTTAAGTCAAGCATTCCTGGAATTGGTGTGCTTAATAAAGTCTTATGGCTATTTCCATCAATAAGCATAGCATCAACTTCATCTATTATGATATACCCTTATTGTCTGTCTCCCATCGTTCCTAATTCTGAATATTTATGTCTAAGTATATCAGCTTAGAAACTATGAGGATCTCCATATATGACTTGAGATTTATAACATGGAAGCATCTCTTCTAAGTTGCTTGGTTACTCATTTATATTATGAGCTACCGATACTGAAAATAATTGATAAAATGGAGCTAAATCATTAGCATCCCTAATCGCCAAGACTGGAGAGCTAGTTACAATGTCGACATTTAATTTTTTCTTTTTACACAATAGAATAGCTAGCATTGCTACAATTAGAGTTTTTCCTTCCCCCGTATTTATCTATGCTAAACGACCCTTTTTATCTTAATGATTATATAATTCTATAACAGATAATAATTAAACAGGTCTTGGATAATAAGAGAAATGCTGATTTACATTTTTACACAAGTATAATAGATCTTCATATTCCAATTATGGAGATGAATTAAAATCAGAAACTTAAAAATTTTATTGTTGTTATTCTAAGGTATTGTATAATTATTCAAGTTATTAATTGATTTGATAGTTACTTCTTTTGTTTAAGGATTGAAATTTAGAAAACAAATCTTTTATTTATTAATTCTCCTTAATAGATCTATCTATTTTAATTTCATCCATTTTTAATATCCCTTTATTTTACTAAGGTTATTTTTTATTTGTAATTTTTGAAATTAATTTTAAACATTCACTAAGCGAATTAAATTCAGAACATAAAATCAAATTTAGAATTTCTTAGCTTTACTTTTTTTATATATATTAAAGAAGAAAATTAATTTCCTCATTGTTTTTAAATGATTATGATAACTTATTTTTCAACTTCATCAAGTCTAATGGATTCCATTATATCTATTATCTTTCCTATTGACATTCAACTTATATTTAATTGGAAATTTCCTTTTGAATGTCTTCTTATAATTTTCTCCAATCTTTATTGTATGACTTAAGATGATCAATGATTTTTTATGCGTCCTTAACTTATTTTATATCTAGCATTAAACTTGACATTTATTATTTAGTAAGGTTTAATTATGATAAATGGAATTAGATTAATTGATTTTCTTTAGTTGACCAATTTCTATTCCCTATCATTTATTACATATTTAAATAATAACCATTCAGTCATAGATTATTCTGCTTTGACCCAATTTTAAAGTTCAAATTCTATCAGAAACTAATATGAATATTATTGTTTTTTTTAGTTAGATCAACAATGATTCGATAGTCTCTTCAAAAAAGACAAAGAATAACATATATTCTTGTAATTTCTTCACGATAGAAACTCTAATAACTTAAATTCTTTTGTTTCTGTTTTTAAATAAATTTAATACTATTTAATATTAATTCTATTTTAAAAGCTATTAGAATTTGAGATTTTAAAATCAGTTGAGAGTTTTGGACAAAAATTTATGTTTCTTCAACCCTTCTCATTTATTATAAATCGCCTCTCTATTTAGAAATTACTAAAATAAATATGGTTTCTATAATTATCCATCATTGAACTGCTTATCATTAGCCTTATATTTTATTATTTAAGTAGATTTATGTATTACTTTTATGTTGAAAGAAATTGGAAATTACACACTTATAATTTATTGAGCATAGAATAGTCAAATTTAACTTTATAGGCCAATTATCAACAATTCTGTTACTTCAATAAATTTCCAAAATCCAATAATTAAATCCAATCCAGACTATTTGTAATTTTTAAAGGATATAACTTGTAAATTATTTCTATTTTGATGAATTTCTTAAAATACAGTAGATTTTTCTGAATAATTAATTGTGAAATCTTGATTTTCATCAACGATTTTGAAATTAATGATCATTTTCTCCTCCATTAATTATATTACTCATTTAAAGAAGGACAGATACAATTTTTATTTTAGAATATGATAGGAATATTTAACTTTCTCTTTGATTAACTAAATTTTATTTGGTAATTTTTTTATTCAATCAAGATTTAATTATATGAAACATCTCAAATTAGGCTAAATAAAATCATTATATATCTGTTATTCAAGATTAATTACAATAATAGAATTCAACAGAATTTAAATAAAATTATTCATTAATTAAAAATTTTAAGGAAGAATTTAAATTAATATTAATTCCTATTGTGAAAATAAAAATTATGAATTATAAGGAAAGCAGAACAAACCATTTCATGTAAAAGGAGAAATATTCATCAAAAATTCAACAAAGTGCATAATAATTGTTAGAAAAATATCCTACGCTATACAGTTATAGAAAGGCGATTCAAGAAGTAAAAGAAAACTTTAGAAGTGGAAGCTTTGGTGTTGAGGTTGGACGAGTATTTTAAGGCAACTCTAATAAATCCTATTTTTATATGCATGAAAAAATTTAGAATAGAGTTTAAAAGAGAAACTAATTAACAAAAAATTAAAAACACTTTGATTGATTATATGTTTATTATTGATATGAAAAGTAATTCGAATCTTCTAGATTTATTTAAAAAAAAGATGCTTAACTTAATCTCAACTCAAAACTGATGTATTATAATCCATTTTGTGAACCTACGCATTAATAAATCCTTCATAAGCAATAAAGCTTTTGAAGTAATTTTAAGAATAAGTATATTTTTAATTGAAGTTATATTATTTAAATTCATATTATGTAATAAATTAATATCAGAATACTGTAATATAATTGTTATAATTTATAAGTTTTTTTATAATTGTAAAAATTTCTTTAAGATTTTATTTAATTTCTCTCATTAATTCATAATCATGATATCTAAATTTGAGAGAAACAAACTGATATTAAAAAATCTACCATATATTAATTATTGACCTTTAAAATACAGCTTAATTATTCAAAAATTTACAAATAATATTTCTAAAGATATCTGGTTTAATTATTAAATTTGAATTCTTAGAAATATGATAAAGCAAGGCCCATTATATCTTGTATATTATTTCTCATATCATTACCATTTTTAAAGTAATAAAATGAAAGAATAATTATAAATAGGAAATTCCATACATTAATTATTATTATAAACTGCGTATAATGAGCGGTATTAATATTAGATTTTTATGCATTGTAATTCTTTAATTTATATTTTCAATTTCTTATTGATACTTAATTGAAAATCATTTAAATATATAAAAATATTAGCATTATTTCTTGAATTGAGAGAGAATGTTAATGATTGATTATCTAATTTCCTAAGAGCATTATTGTAATAAACAATACCATCAAATTAAGCATTAAAAGTTTCAAAATTTAAATGATTTGAAGGAGTGTTAGTAAAGAAATCTTAATCTACATTATAGAATTTTAATTTTCCCATCAACCTTAGATATGTACTGATTTCCAAGGCTTCAAATGCTAGCCAGATTCTCTAGATAATCAACATTGATACATTTTCGAATTAAATAATATTTTAATATATTAATGATTCCAAAAAAAAATAAATACTACCATGATATTAACTATATAATATTATTGTTCCAATCATAAGAATTAGCCATTTGATATTTATTAAATTTGTAGCTCAATAGTATATATATCATAATAAAATGTAATTTAACTTATTTATTAATTCAATTTAAAAAATAGTTTATTCACAAAACTTATTAAATTTTCAATTTGCATTTTATATAAGTGCATTAACTTGTAAGTCTTCTTTGTAATTCATCAGAATTACTCAAAATCTGTAAAATCAAAAATTATTTACTTAAAGTAGTATATCAAATGTAATTGCTTAATTTGGATAAATTGGTATCACAATATATTAGCAAGAGCAACTCCATAAAATTTAAAATATTCTCATTATTACATATACATTTTTGAAAAATATATAATTATTGAGTACATGAAAATTTTCAATTATAGCAACCATCAAAATAATAAATATTATCATCATTACATTCCTCATAACCAAAAGCTTAACAGATAGATCAACAATTTATAATTATTATATTATCTCCTTATGATTTATTATAGCAATTGATAATTAGAATATACATGATATTGCTTATAATTAGGATTTAAAACTACAACATCCAACATATTAAATATTATTTCGATTATCAAATTCCTCTATAAAATACTTGAACACCAAAATATTTGGACAAAGTAAGATTGTTGATTAATTACATTACAAAGAATGTTTGGAAAATTAGCAAATAAAATAAAAAAAAATGCAGATTATGTGTAAATTATTAATATTTAACAAATATATAAATAATAACATAGAATTCTGATATGAAAACTAATATATTAAATAATAATATATATAAATAATTAAATATTATCAATAAAACATTTCACTTAAAATATAAACTAAGTATTAAAATTTGATTTTGGATATAAGATAATTACAAAATTGATTATTTTTATACATTAAAAAATATATGATCAAACAATCATTAATTTGAAGCTTAACTCAATTATATATACTTCGAAATAATTTTTTAGCATTCAAATTAGAATTAATATTACTAATAATTGTCTTTTGAATTGAACTATTCATTTTTAGGTTTACAACTAAGAATCTATAGGAAAATTGATATTTTTTTCATTATGTAAAATTTATTTAGAAGTGAATGATAATTAATTTCTTACAATTTTTTTGTGACTCTTTGTGATATTCCAGATATAGACTATTAATATATTCTTTAGTATTAAATTTTGAAAATTTTTTTAAATATCAAATATAATAAATAAATAAAAAATGTGTAGGTAAGCCTTTCATCTAAATGTTCTAATATTATTATTACTTAGTGCTAATTGTTTTTTACACTCTGTTTATGAAGAATTTAATACTAAATAGATTTTATTTACTAATACAAATTGGAAATGTAGAGATTAAACTACTTAAAATTTAGAAGCATTTATTTGTAGTAAAGGAATGGACTTAGTTAAGCTATTATAAATAAATTAATAATGTAATAAAATTTACAACATAATTGACACTAAATTACCCCACTTTTAAATCTAACTATATATTGATGTGTATGGTTATAGTAGTATTGATGGTAATGAAAGTTTTTTTTTAGAAATAACTGAAAATTCTTTGTAAGACTCTGTTTGCCTATCTACTTCCTTGGGTAAATCATTATAATAATGTTCTGGATATAATAATGAGTTGATTCGCAAATCCTTCTTTAAAGAAATTAGTCATTCTCAAGAATAAGTTAATCTTGAAATATGGAGTACAACTAATTAAGAATTTGCTGATGAAGCCTATTTATTTAGAAATGTCTAACTGATTTTAGATAGATGTTACAAAACTTGTAAGACTTGCTCAGGTCAAGGAAAGGAATAGTGTTTAACTTGTTATAATGACATAAGTTTGAGTTCTAGTAATTCATGTGATTCTTTTAAGGATCGAACAGATTAAAAGTTCCTTCAAATTCCAGATGGATGTAAAGATAAATGTGATAATAATAAAGATTATGATGAAGATTATGTTTGTATTGAAGATATAAGTAATCATAATTAATAGTATTTTTTAGATCTTTAAGATAAATGTGAAGATAATTGCCTGAAATGTACTAGTACATAAAGTTGTTTAATTTGTAAACCCTAAAATTATCTCTATTTTGGATAATGTATGGATTAATGTCCAGAATACACAAAAATATATGGTACTAATTGCTTAAGCATTGTTGATATTATTTAAAAAAATAACAATTTAAGGGTTAAACAATTAGTAAGAGAATTTTATGATCTATCAACAACAAAAAGCTCTACTGATACAATATTTTAATTTATATCATCATCTAATTCATTTAATTTCTAAAAAGGTAATGCTATTTATTATAGCTACTTTTCAAATAAAAGAATTTTTGGAGGACCATTAGTATGGGTTAATGCTGCATTTAAATTTACAAAAAATTGGACAGAAGAGTTTTAATTTATTAAAATATTTTTTGAAGTGATTTTAGGGGATATTTCATTAAATAACAATAAATTTACATATAAATTAAATGATCAATAATTAGAAACAATAACTTTATAAGAAAATTATTCAGGACAGAATCCAAATATATAAGATCAAATATGGCCTAATGACTATCAATTCAATATATATATAGTGGATAAATCTATACATTATTAAATGTCAACAAATAAGTAATTAACTATGGAGATTAAATGTTAAAATAATCATGAACTTGCATTTTGTGGGATTTAGAACATGGTTGTAGTTGGAATTTTAAATTGTGAACCTGAATATTACTTTGACTATTATAATTATGAAAGTGGTAGAAATCATTGCATTCCAATTTGTGGTGATAAAATAATTGTTGGAGATGAAGAATGTGATGATGGTAATAATGATCCTTTTGATGGATGTTTCAATTGTAAATATTAATGTGAAGAGCATTGTGATAATTGTATATATGGTTACTGTTTAAGAAAAAAAACCATATATAGACAAAGTTCTTTTAAAATAGAAATTGAATATAATTTGGCTTACTATTTAGATGTTATTTCATTATCTTGTATATTTAAATGTAGTATATGCATAAACAATTTATGTTTATAATGTAGTTATGGGTATTACTTAAATACATATAACAATTTATGTGAGACTCTTTGTGGAGATTCTATCAATTAAGGTAATGAATAATGTGATGATGGTAATTCAGATAACTATGATGGTTGTTCTAATTGTGAATTGATTTAATATGAAAAATGTGATATAGAATAGGATATCTAAAAATATCATTGTGCTGTCTGTTACTATGGTAAATGCTTAAAATGTAATGAAGGATATATATTAAATGATGATCTTTGTATTTCAATATGTGGGGATGGTTTAATTAATCCAATAGAAGAAGAATGTGATGTTTAAAGTGGAGATGGATGTATTGATTGTAAAATATAAAATGGTTATGTTTGTGGTAAATAACACTTTTCAACTTGTAAGACATGTGATAAAGAGTGTACTTAATGTGTAAGTTTAGATAGGATAAATTTAATTTGTAAATCATGCATTGATGGGTATTACAATGTAGAAGATAAATGCTTATTATGTGATTCAAATTGTATTAATTGCAAATTGCAATCAAATTTATGTATAATAATATATAATTTCTAAAATATCATATCGACCTGATTGTGATTTTTGTGAATCAATCCCTGGTCTATTTGGAGATATAAAAACTAAATAATGTATTTCTATTTGTGGTGATGGAATTTTAGTTGAATCATATGAGTAGTGTGATGATAATAACCAAAACAATGGAGATGGCTGTGATTCTTAATGTAATTTAGAATTCTCAGATAGTGAAATTAATTAAATGAAGTATTATTTATCCTAATCTAATAATACTTATGATTTGAAACTAAACTCTGAATATCAATTCAAAATTTTATGCAATACTATTAATATAATCATAGACAATATGAATATTTAAGATTACAACTATAATTATACTTAAGTAGATGTATTGACTTGTAGTTTAAAATTTGATTTTAAGAAATCTATCTATAAATTTAATACAATTCATGCAAAATTATTGTATACAAATTCTATAAACAGAATACTTTCTGAAAATGATAGAAGTATTGTATATGATATCACACCAAAAGAGTATATTGTTTTAAATAACAATGAAAAATCATAATAGGAATATATATCAAGTGCTCAAGACTCTTTTAGTTTAATATTTTTAATAATGATACCTATATCAATTATTTTAAATCTTTTTAATTATTTATGGGCAGTTCTAGAAATATTAAGTTGGATCAATAATTTCTATTTTCTTAATGTTAATTATCCTTTCAATGTGGAATTATTCTTCTTAAGGAGTGATTGGTCAAACCTTATTGGTTTTCCAACTTATTAAGGATTGAATCAACCTGATTGTAATTATTACTTTGAAGCTCCAAAAAGATTCAAAGATAAAGGAATTGATCCATTATTCTTTAACAACATATAAGTTCCATTTATGTTTTTACTATCTTCTATCATCATATTCCTAATAAACTATTTACTATATTTATTTTTTTCTCTACTTAATGATGCCTTGAAAGTAAAAATATCTATAAAAAAGGAGAAAAATTTTAGTATTTTTAATATTTCAATTAAAAAATAGAATCGGTAAAATTCAATCAAAGTCAATTAATAAATGACAATATAAAATCCATATTTGTAATACATAACAAATATTTTAAAATAAAATTCAGTTCATTTCTTAAATTAATTTAAATAAACAATTTCATTATGTTTATTGGATATTACATTAGCAATTTTACTTTAATTATCATATTCAAACAATAATTCAAATATCATTGTGGGTTTAAATTAATTTTTTGCAATTATCACAATTGGAATTATAATATTTTAATTGTTTAAACAATATTCAATATTAAATATTCATAAGCTTCAAGCTAAAAATAAGTATTTTGTGGAGAGATGTGGAATTTATTATGAAAACATAAATCCTGAAAATTCATTTGGATATTATTATTAATTTTTTGGGTAAATCAACAAAATCTTTTATATCTTCTTCATGGTTACTTACTACTATACTCCACTTATGTAAGTAACTTTATGCTATATATCCTCATCTTTTTGTTTTGTTTTCCTATTATATTAAAATCCCTATAATTCCAAGAAGGAATATGTAATGGCCATAATATCAAATTTTTGTTTAAGTACCATTATATTAATAACTATTTCATTTGCAATTAATGATGAAATAACTGTAGAGTTTATAGAGATAAACAAAAATATTTTAGGTTGGATAATTATTGCTTTAGTCTTAATAGCAATATTAATTGAATTTTTTGTTCTGGCTTTTGGAGTACTAATGTATATTTTCAATATTTACACAATTTTATTGAATCAACTAAGAAATTATAAAAAAAAAAAGGATTAAAATTAAGTATAATAATCATAATAGAAAGAAAAAAAATTTGAAACTACAAATAAAACTACTAAATAACATAGTGAATTTAAATCAACAAATTCAAACTTTTCTATTGTATTATTTTGAATTTCATATTAAATAGATATATATATATTAATTTAAAAATTAAATTTAACTTCAGATTTAAAAAATGTAAAAATACTTATATTATAATTTATAAACATTATCCAAACTTGTATATTTGGTCACAATAAATTTATTCAAGATATTGATGATATTTCTATTAATCAGTCTTATTAATACTTAACTTTCATATAATCATATTTTTAATAATATTGATTTTTAAGAGTTGTTCATTATTTTATCAAAATTGACAATTAACTATTATCAATATAGCTTAATTATTCTTAAAATATAAAGATTTAAATTATATATTTATAATGATCAGTAAGTAAAATCAAATAAATTATTAAATGAAATTTTAATTAAATTAAAAAATTATGTGGATTTAAATTATTATATATAAATTGATAAGAACTATAAATTAATTTAATTCATAATCAAACTTTGATGATTATCAATTAAAATTTGAATTAGTTTCAATTTTAAATATTGTATTAAGTACTACATTTAATTAATCTTATTTAACAGGTTTCTAAATAAATGTATTAATTCCAATATTTTTACCTTATAGAATGTTTTCTTAAGTATCATATGCAGAACATATCACAATAAAAGTTTAATTAGAAGTTATTTCAAGGATCTATAAATTATTATTTGATATAATTTATACATATTTACTTGTTTGAAAGCCATCCATTCCTGGCATTTCAATATCCATAAAAATTAATTTGTAGATTGAACAGTGTTTGAACATTTTTTGTTTAACTTTTTCTACTGCTTGAAAACCATCATATGCTTAATCAACTGTAATTTTATATTTATTAAGGATCATTTTTAAAGCTATTTAATTAAAAGGAATATCATCTACAATAAGTATATGAACACATTTTTAACATAATAAATCTTCTTCTTTTTTTTATGAGAAATCCGATTGAAATTATTTCTATAAATTATTATAATAATCTAGATTCTTTTTTGAAAAATAATCTGGACTTATAGGTAGTAAAATTTAATGTTATTTTTCAGAATCATTTAGTCTTAATGTCATAAAAGACTCTTATTTTACTTCTTGGAAATTTTTATCGTTTTCAAATTTTATATTATTATTATGAACTATTATAATATTTTTTTAGTGTTGAGTTTATATATGTAATTGATTTTCTTAATGAATCATCTATTCATTTTATTATTTTGGAAAATTTGATTATAATTATAGATCTTCTATTTGAAATTAAACTATTGTTCCTTTATTTTTTTTTGAAGTAATAATTAATTTATTATCTTTAGATTCAGTCAAACCTTCTATGAGTTTAGCTGCAATAATCAAACCTAAACCAGCTTATTTACTGCCAGAATGAGATTTTAATACAGCACCAAATTCTATTGTATCATGTAAACTATTCTAAATTTAATTCAGTTTATGTTCATCTATTCCAATTCCATTATCCTTTACTTTAAAATTAATGTATTATTAATTTTCTTACATGATATTTAAACTAATTCTACCTCCTTCATGAGTATATTTAATTGAGTTATTTAAAAAATTCACCAATAATTATATTATTCTTTGTTTATCATTACGAAAATTACTTCCTATTAAATAATTTGAGACTTTAATTTTAAATGTAATGTTTTTTTATTATATTTATAGTTTATATAAATGTTCTATTTCATCAATAATCTATTGAATTGTAAAATTAACAAGATGATAATGAAATTAATATGATTAAAGAGCAGCATAATCTAAAATATCATTAATTTAATGAATTAATAAAGTAATTGAACATTATGCTATATTAATATAATCTTAAAATTCTTATGTTGTTTATTCATATTTCATAAGATTCAACATTTGATTACAACTATTCAAAGGAGTTCTTAATTCATGGGAAAATGATTTAATTAAACTATGATTAATGATGGATTCATCCCTCATTTATTTACATTTGTATTTATTAGTTACATTCTTAATAATAATGAGTAAAACAGGATTATCTTTGTCACTATTCGCATTTGAAATGTGACTTTTACTTGAAGACTTAATTTAAGAAGAAGCTGAAATGTATTCTTATTATTGATTTGTCATAGAAGTTGGTATAATTATTAATTTCAATTTCTTTTAAGAATTATTTGATAATAATTCAGATTAAAGAAGCCATTCATAAATAAAAATCTATTAATTAAATGATGCTTAGTATTCTCTCTATAATGATATTTCCTTTTATCCTAATATACTAAAATATTTCTAAGGAGAAAGAATAATATCTAAAATATCAACAGGATTATTTGTTAATTATAACTTTCTTACTATTTATTAGAGTAAATGATAGTGATGCTATTTCTTTTATTATATATTTGATGTTTCACTTACATTATCTTGCATTTTAGCATTGTTGACACACATTTTTACTTTTTCCAATACTTATTCACTTCCTTAACATTCTAATATCTTCTCACACTTATTATTAATATAATTTATTATTTAATTCTAATTTATAATCAATATTCCATATGGAAATAGATTAATTAGATTTTAATATAATTAAAGCATTTAATTATTAGAATTTCCTTAATTAAGAATATTCTTTTATGATTTAGATATACTAGTTAAGTTTGAATATCTTTTTAATTTCAATTCATCTGGAAGTTCTTTTAATTAAATAGTAAAACATTTTTTAGGAGATTGAATAATAGTCATTCTGCTTTATGATCTTATTAATGATTACATCATAAAATTTTAAACATGAGGAGGAGATTATTATTATTATTATTAAGATGTATTAAAAGATTAATTTTTGTTAAATTTCAAATAATTTGTTATCAATTAATGAATGAAGATTACTACTATAATTGACAAACTTTCTAGTGTATATATATTATTATTAAGAGTAACTACCCAGATTATTCGTATTAATAAATATAAAGGAATTCCTAATCTACAAATTATGCTATATTTATGAATTGCAATTCTTATATAGTACTTGTAAGTGATTATTAATAATGTACAATTCGTAAATATGTTTATTGTCTATGATTAATTCAAAAACAACATTGATTCAATGTAAATTACATAATAGAGAAGAGAAATAATATGTAGTAATATATTAAGTGCTAAGCCTCTTTGAATTAATAGATATTAAGATATCCTCATCAATAGACAAACTATTTAAAAAATGAGAAGTTCATAATTTATAGATGATGTTTAGGTTATTGCCAAAAATATCCACAATGAGCTTTAGGAAATATTAGTGACAAATATTAAAATCAATGATATCTTCTTCAAGATTTTCTTATTTTACACTTCCATGTTCTTCGATTTAAATATTATCTAAATAATTATTAAACACATAAAATGATATGTTTCTAACAATCATCATAGACATCAAAGAATCGTATTTTTGTAAAATTAACTCAAACACAATAATTATACTAAAAATATATAATGTAAAAGTTGATTATTATAATATCGCCATTAATATAGGATAATTTTATTTTATGGCATTATTTTTTACTTTTCAAAAATGTTTAAGATTTTAGGTTGAATACTCAAATATGTTTTCTCATTAAACACTCTTCTTTATAATTTAGCGAAAGTTTATTTAAAATTTAGTCTTCATAAATTAACCATTGGTAACTATCATTTTAAAGAATATATTCATTTTAATTTAATTAATAATATAAACAAATTTTATTAATTATTATTATTTCATTTAATAATTAGCAATAGATTGAAATATGTAAATGTAATTCACTTTTATTAATAAAAATATTATTTATGCTGAAAAGTATTATCCATAAGAAAACTTTTAAATTCTCTCATTAATCTTTATTTTATTAAATAATAATATATAAATTTTTACTAATAGGGTAAATTATATGTTTGGAATTGGTTTTTTTGTGAAAAGTAGAATATTCAAATTTGTTTTAGCATTTCAATATCTAATTTGAATAAATAAATTATATTATATATATTAATTAAGTTTCTTAATTTAATTTTAATATAGAAAATTCAAACATAATATGGATAGTATAGTTTATGAAATCACTACATATTGTGATTGATGTACAAATATTATTTATAATATTCAAAATTTAATTTATTATTCTGATTTAAAAATCATTTCTATTAAAGAATTTACTTAATATCTATTTATTTATAATAATCTCAAATCACAACATTTCTGATGATTTTAATTTATTTCAGGATTCCTTCAACATATATATAATAAATTTTTTTTCAAAATTGTTAATCACTATTAAATAATCACCGTTATTACTAAGTGCACTGGATATTCTATTACCTAAAAAAAATAGTGATGATTTAGTTAATTATTCAAAATTTTCAAAATCACTAATAAAATTGAGAAATTATGCATTGCTTTTAATTAGAATATCTTTAGCTGCATTATATTAGAAAAAAGAAGTATCTAAATGATATTCTATTCCCTCAATAGCAATTTCCTTAACTTTAACAAAATTATCCTTAGATCTTTAATATTAATACACTTAAACTTTTAAATCTATTGGTTGAAATACAAAATAGTCATCATTAATAAAACATAAACTTAATCCATGAACTTCAACTTGAATTATTTATATGATAATCCATTATTAATCAGATTTTCTTATTACATTGATAGTACTATCATATGAACATGAAATTAATAAATTATCAGATGGATTTAAGCTTAAAGAATAAATTGGAGCCATATTATGGCAAATCAAAGTTTAAAAAGACTTCCATTAATTTACATTATGCCAAAATGTAATCTAACCTTATGAGCCTATTATTGTAATTGATTCATCTTTATTCATAGTCAGACTGTCAGTAAAAACTAAAGTTTTAAGTTTAAAAATCTATTTGTTATTATTTAAACCAACAATTGAAGCCACTTAGATTGATCCAAATACTGTATACAAAACTAATTATTTTGATTTTTCCATATAATATAATTTTTTTTGCATTCTTTTCTAAGCTAAGAAATTTGTTATAAATTTTAAGTTTCCTAATTTGAAAAAATAAGCACTAATGTAAGTTTTATTAATTGAGAATAGGATTGAAGAATTATGATTAAATATTATTTAATTGGATAAATGATGTTTAGGAAGGATTTATTATTAATTAATTTGTTCAAACTTATATATTTTTTATTTCTGATTTTTGTTTTGATTTTAATCCATTATTTTATAATTAGTAATGTTTTTGTTCAATTTATATTCAATTAATTTATTAATTAAATATTTAAAACTAATATTATAATTAATTATAAATTATTATGATAAATATAAAATAAAACACAAAAATTACAATCTTTTGATAAGTATTTTTCAAATATAATTATAATTGTATAATTACTAATAATTGATATAGATTTAATATATTATTAAGTCGTTTTGTATGCTTTTCATAATCTATTAATTTTTGTTATATTACTTATACAAATCTAGTAATATTTAATAATAAAAATTTAATACTTCTAAATATAAAGGTCTAGAAATATATCTAAATATATAAAATACTAGAGGATTATATTTGTTATTTTTTTAAAAGTGTTAATTCTCATTAATAGTTTCTTTAATTTTTTTGATTATTTATAAGAAAATTAAAATGGATTATGAATAATTATTTATTATTTTTGAATCTTTGATTTATAATTTATAAAGATTAAAAGCTAATTTCTTGAAAGTTTTTGATAAAGTCTTTTCTAAAAAGATTATTAAAAATAATCCTTTAACTTGGATCTAAAGAATAATATATTAATTTATAATATTAAATAAATTCTTCGCAATAATATAAACAATTTCAATTTCATTTAGTTTTGGAGATAAAAATATCCGATTGACATTGATTATAAAATTTAAATAGATAATTTTTTTATTTAAAACTAAATGATTTAGCTAAACTTAGAAGACAGTTATAAACGAAATCAATAAATTACCTTCAACAATTGAAATGAAGGTTTTTATTATTTAAAAGATTATTATTTTAATTCGTAAGAATGATGCATTTTGAATAAAAAGAATTCTAGTATAAAATAGATGTAAGCCAATATAAGAAAGATTAAAGGCAAAAATATGTAATTTACAATCTTTGCTAAATGAAAGAATATAATAAGTTGTAGAAAATAAGTATAATATAAAAAGCACAAAGGATAATGAAAGGTTATGGATATCGTATAAATTTTAGATCTGGGAGTGTTTTAATTACAAAATAAAATTTTGGAGATAGAAATATTCTCATAAAATATATTTTGCAGAAAATTAGAAAAAGTAAGAAAGATGATATGTAATTGAATAAATTCTAATTAAATAGAATTGGATAGAATTAAATAAAACAAATATGGAAAATAGAAATTGAAAGAATAGATAGATGTTAATTTTAAATCATAAGACTAGAATGAATTGAATTAAACAAATTACTAAAGTATAAATAACATAAATGCATCATTATCAAATGAAATAGTATAAATTATTGTTCAGAATTAATAACCTCAATAAAATCAAATTAAAGAAGCATAAAAATTATAAAATAATTAAGCTTATTAGAATGAATCTTAAAATTCAGATTATTATTATAATAAAGGTTTAAATAAATTGATAATTAATAGCTAACATTTTAGTTGATTAAAATAGATGTGAAGAAGCATTACAATTTTACGATTTAGCAATTAAAAAAGATCCCAATAATTCGACATATTACAATGAAAAATGTAAAAATTAAAATTAATAGTATTTAGCAATTGCTTTAAAATAATTGTTAAGGTTTGAAGAAGCACTATAGTGTAATAATGATTCCATCAAAAACAATCCTGAAAATCCAGATTATTACAACAATAAAGGTAAATTAAATTCTATTATATTTAAAGCAAATACTTTAATAGAATTAAATGATTATAAAGCAGCATTAAAATATTTTGATTAAGCTATTAAAAGAAATCCTTAAAATGCTGGATACTATTATAATAAAGGTATCAAATAAATGTATTATGATTAGCAATTACTCTACATGAAATGAATCGTTTATAAGAAGCTTTAGAGTATTATGATTATGCAATTAAAAAAGATCCAAATAATGCAGATTATTATAACAACAAAGGTAAAATTCTATAATTATACTACAGCAAGTGTTCTACACGACTTAGACCGTTTTGATGAGGCATTACAATATTATGATTATGCAATAAAAAAGGATTCAAACAATCCAGATTATTATAACAATAAAGGTAACCATTGATTCATTTATTCTAATGCAGCAAACACTTTAGCCTAAATTGAAAGATTTGATGAAGCATTATAATATTATGAAAAAGCTATATAAATAGATCCCGAAAATCCAGAATATTATAATAATAAAGGTATTTAAATTATTAATAAGCTAATACATTACATTAATTTTAAGATTATGATTAAGCATTTATAGTAGAGAAGGCTGCTATTCAAATGAATCCAGAAAAAGAAATTTATTATAAAGTTTAAAGTAAAAATAATATAATATTTACAGCAAATACTTTATTAAAATTGAATAGATTTGAAGAGGCTTTAGAACACTCTGAATGTGCTATTTAAAGAAATCCTTAAAATAGTGATAATTATAAATAAAAAGGTAAGAAATAAGAGAATTATTTATTAGGATTTACTTTACATTTAATGAATCGTTTTAATGAAGCTTTAGAGAACTATGATAAGGCCATTTAAAAAAATCCTGAAAATGCTGAATAGTATTATTATTAGGGTAATTTGAAACAAATATCATAGCACATACTTTATTATATATGAACCGTTATGAAGAAGCATTAGAAAATTTCCACAATGCTATTTAAAGAGACCCTGAAAATTCTTTTTCATATTATTATAAAGGTAAAATGAAAAAATAACCTAGCTATTGCTTTACACTAATTGTAACGTTATGAAGAAGCAATAGAATATTATGATTATAGTATTTAGAAAAATCCTAAAGAATCTATTAAGTATTTCTCTAAATGTATAATTAATAATTATTGATTAGCAATTACGTTAGTGGAAATGAATCGCTTTGAAGAAGCATTACAAAATTCTAATTTAGCCATTCAAAAAGATCCTTAAAAATCTGATTATTATTTATAGAAAGGTACAAATTATCAAAATTAATTTATTAGCATCAGTTTTATTAAAATTAAACCGTGAGGAAGAAGCATTAAAAGAGTTTGATAATGCGATATCATACGACCCTGAAAATCCTATTTATTATAATGATAAAGGCATCCATTGTTATTTCATTATAAATAGCTTTTGCTTTAAACGAATTAAATAGAATGGATGAAGCATTAGAACATTATGAATTAGCTATTTCAAAAGATCCAGAAAATCCAGAATATTTCAATAATAAAGGTATATAATAAATAGGAATTATTTTTGCAGCATAGGTGTTATTCAAACTGAATCGGTTAGAAGAAGCATTAGAGTATTATAATTACGCTATTTAAATAAATTCTGATAATCCTGAATATTATTATAATAAATGTAAATATCAAATAAATATTAATTTAATAGCAATCGTTTTATAAAAATTGTTACTTTTTTAAGAATCTTTGGAATCAATTGATATTGCTATTCAGAAAAATCCAGAAAATCCATTATTTTTTAATCGAAAAGGTATTATATAAAATAAGCATATGTTTCAGGATGTGCTTTAATCAAACTGAATCGATTAGAAGAAGCCTTAGAATTTTTTGATTATGCAATATAGAGAATACCTTAAAATGGTGCATTTTATTATAATAAAGGTAAAATATATGATGATTATTAATCAGCAATTGTTCTATAAGAACTAAATCAATTAGAAGAAGCATTAAAATATTATGATTATGCAATTGAGAAAGATTCTAAAAATGCAGATTATTATAATAATAAAGGTATCAATCAAATGAATTATTGTACAGCAATTACTTTAAATAAACTAAAATAATTTCAACAAGCCTTAGAATAATTTGATTATGCAATTAGTTTTAATGCTGAAAATCCAGATCAGTATCATAATAAAGGTAATATTTAATATGTAATCTTATAGCAAATGTGTTAGTTGAATAAAACAGAGATGAAGAAGCATTGAAATTTTATGATATAGCTATAGAGAAGAATCCTGAAAATCCAGAATATTATAATAATAAAGGTAAATCAAATTCATTTATTAATAGCAAATACTTTAATCAAATTAAATCGAAATGAGGAAGCATTGAAATATTTTGATTTAGCTATAGAGAAGAATCCTGAAAATCCAGAGTATTATCATAATAAAGGTAAATATATCTTATAAAATTTAATGAAAGCTAATACTTTAATATATTTGCAAAGATTTGAAGAAGCATTAACTTATTTTGGCTATGCAATTTAAAGAGATCATGATAATGCAAAATTTTATAATAATAAAGGTAGAATTAAATTTCATTTGATTAGCATTTGTTCTAACAAAAATGGAATTGTTTGAAGAAGCATTAGAATGTTTTGACTTAGCTATCTAAAAAAATCCTGAATCTTATCAATACTATTATAATAAAGGTAAAAATTGAACATATAACTTTGAATAGCATTAACATTACATTAAATAAATCGTTAGGAAGAAGCCTTAAACTTTTATGATTGGGCGATTTAAATAAACCCCAATTTTTCAGATCTTTATTATTTTAAAGGTATATAAAATTCTAAAATAGCAAATGCACTAGTTGAATTGAAACGTATTGATGAAGCATAAGCATAATATGATATTGCAATATAGAAAAATCCTGAAAATGAAGATTATTAAAAACAAAAAGGTATTTTAAATAATTTTATTAGAAAATTTAACTTTGAATAATCAAAATGAAAATACAAACCAAAATAATCTCCAACTTCTAAATCAATTTTTAATGAATTCTAATTATTAAAGCTTAAATCCTCATAGTAGTTGATTGTTTGGAGATTTATTTAATTTTATCCATTTTATAGAATTTATTCTTTATCATTCAGAATTCTGAGTTTAAATCTAATTTTTTTCATTTTTCCATTCTTTTTTATAATCATAGTTACAATTAATTAATCAAGTTCAATTTTAAGAATAAATGCAAAAAAAAGTCATAAAATCTTATTTGTTAAGTTCTAATATAATTAAATCTTTGGTGAATATCTGAAGCTTCTTATTATGATTAATATAAAATTAATGAAATTATTAGCATATTACTGATTATAATAATTTACATTATATATTATATATAAATAAATTAAAATTAAATTAAAAGTTTATGATTCATTTATTATAATATTACCCTTTAGTAGGTTTTTAATCTCTTTTTTAGTGTCTTTCTATATGTCCACATTTAGTAACAGGTTTAGAGACCTATACATTATTGATTCCTTATAGTGATGGAACAACTTTAATATTTTTATTCTATTTAGGTGATTGTGACTTTGGATTTTGAGGAAGAGTTGATTACATAATCAATTCAGCGTATTTCTAAATATTGAAATTTAAATACTTTAACAATTTTTAATTCAGGGTATTCTATTTACTCATCATTTTTTCTATCTTCAGCCTCTTTTTTGAGTATGCGCATCATTAATTAATTTGCTAATTAAATTTTATCTACTTTAACTAAATCATCTAATTAACCATAAATTTCCATTTTCTCATTGTATTAAGATTATAATAATGATAATTTTTCTTAAAGATCCTTATTCTCTTAACCTAGCTACATCAAAGTCTTAGTTAATTTTTAATTTTCAGCTTCTAAAACAGTTGGATTGGCTCTTATTTTTTATATGGCTTCTTTTAAAAGTTATTAATTATCAGGATGATGTACAATTTATTTTGTCCATTTAAATTTTATCATTTATTTAACCCATTTGTAAACATTATAGATTTTTGAATAGACATATGTAAATGCAATATTAAATTTAGTTTTAATAAAATTGATTAGATTTTTAGTATTTTCTAATTTGTAGAATATATTTAAAACAGCTAAAACATTATCTTATTATTTTGGGAATAATAATTTAATTTAATTATCAAATAAATACTTCTATTTTATTTCTTCAATATATTAATTTAACTTTTATATTTATGATTTTAAATCTTCAATAACAATCTATTATTTATCTGGTTATTCTTTTTATTCCTACATAGTTTTAATTTGTTTTTTTAATTTATCTAATTCTTAATCCTTTTATTAGATTTTTAAATTAGCTTCATTTAATTTATTTCTAAAATCTGAACCCTATTATGCTTTTTCTGCTTATAATTTTGTAATTTCTTCTTTAGTTTTATCTGGTATAACTTAATCTTTCTATTATTTTTATTGACATCCTACTTATATCTTCTAAACTCTTGATAATTATTATTTTAATGATTCTATATCTTTTTAATGTTATTATTTTAAGATAATCATATCTTATTTCAATTATTCATTTTCATTAATTATATCATCTGTTTTGCTAGCTTTAGTTGAACAACTAGCTCTTGATTAATTGTTATCTCCTTTCTAAATAGTAACTTTAAGTGTTTTAATTAATTCTTAATCTTAATTATATCGTTATTTATATTCATTTAATAGGTTTTTGAGATTCAATGTTTCTTCCTTCAATTTACTCACTTATTCATTATCATTATGTTTTTTCTTATTTAAAGATGGTGTATTTGTAGTAATATTTTATTAAACAATATTAATTGGATCTACTTCAATATCACATTATTAAAATAATGATTATACTTTCTACTACAATTTAGAAGGAATACTTTATTTTTATATTTTTTTCATCAATTCCTCTTTTTTTGATTCTTAAATTAATTCTTAAGTTTTTTATTATACAATCCTTTAAAATTGTTATTCTACCTATTATCTCTCCTTTTCTTTAGATTTAAGATAATTATTTAAACCATCTAATTTAATTTTTTTACTTTGACTTATTTAACTATCATCATCTAACATTAATACAGGTATTTCATAATCCAAATTAAATATTTCATTCTCTTTAACTTATGAAGCAACACTCTCTTCAGCTGCTTCTTATATATCAGACAATTTCTCATTATTTACATATTTAATATCTTCCCATCTAATTTATTCTTTTGATTTTGTATTTTGTTCATACTTATCATATTTTTATTCTTGAAACTAATTATAATTAAAATTATCAAGTCCGTATAATTCATTTTTTTCATCTTCTTCTTCTTCCTCTAATTCAATTAATTGTTCATTCAAACTTTCCAAAAGACTTTTCGGTTTTGATTTCATTAATTATATTAATACTAAAATTAATTATTTTAATAAAAATACTTTAAATAATTTGAGTAATTTAAATAACTCTATACATCTTTCTATTTGATAAGTTAATAATAAAAGATGATAATTATATTAAAATCTCAAAATGATTATTTTTACTTTTAAACACTTTAAATTATGATTAATTACAGTTATTTATAAACAATTAAAACAAATATTTATATATATATATTAAATAAATCTAATTGTCAAAACATATATTTTATCAATTAGGAAGTTATTCATTATTATTATTTTTCTAATTTTTAATCTTATTTTCAAAATGGATCATAATATCTGAAAATTCCTTAAATTTTATAAATTATAATAGATACCTTAAAAAGGGTCTTAAATGTTTCAAATGCAGTATCTTTTTTTTTTTATTAAGCCTTTTCATAAATTTCATTATGCTTTTTACAAATATTCATCGTTCTTAAATATATATAACCCAAACCTTATAGAACAATCGAATAGATTTAGAAATATAAAGATGCCACATAATATCCTATTATAGCAGCTATCAAAGAAGTGAGATTTGTTTCATACATATCTTTTGAAAAGTATTTAAAACTCAAAAGAAATTTACATATAATAGCACAAAGTAATGCAATAAATATTTTGATGATCAATAAAAATGAATCAACAATATTTCCTATGATTTATTTGAATTAAAGTACTTAATTATTCGAAAATTTCAGCAGTAATTGAATCTTCCTATCTTAATTCCAAGTAGTCATCAATAAATTTAAAACATACATTAACTGTTATATTAAACTTTCTATTAATTGCTTATTCAACATAAACAACATCTTCAATTTGTCTAGTTTTTTTGTATATCTAAATAAAGGGTAGACAACAACATTTGGTAAGGAAATTTCTTAAATTCTCACTTTTTCTCCTAACAGCCCAATCTTTTATAGCATCACATACAAATTTAATTGGTGATATCAATAATAGTAATGAAGCAAATGCTATCTTTCCTATATTATAGAAGGCTTCTTGCATAAAGTATCTAGTCAAAATAAGTGAAGATTGATTGTGATTGTATTGAAAATCTTATTGTTATTTATGAACATGACCAACTTGAATCCATTATACTAAGGATGATGATATGATATAGTTATTTATTCCAAAAATGACTTAAACTCCCCAAAAAAAGAAAAATATTATCAAGAATTGAAAATAATAGAGAATGCCTCCTTAGATTTTTTCAAAGGGTCCAATTTATTAGAAATCAATTACGAAGCAAGCTCTTATTGATCTATTTGAAATATATATAAAATGTATACAGAATTGTATAAATAGTTAAGAATAGAAAGAAATTAAGGACTAAAATGATTGGATAAGATAATTCTTATAGGTATTCATGATCAGCAGTATATTTTTCAACTTATTCAAATAATTATGATAGATCTTTAATTCGATCATAATTGTTGTATAAGAAATAAGCTCCATAAAATGTTAGAATTACAAAAATTAGAGATAAGATGACCAATTTAATAGGATTTGGTACATTACTCATTTTCAAAATGTATTCTTCATCAACCTAAAAGGAGGATATAGATTTCTTTTCTAATGAATTGGCGATAGCATCCCTGGCTTAAGAAACAAAAATAACTCCAAGAGTTCCCACAAAAATAAATAGTCCAAATGTTAAAGCCCAAACACTATATTAGGTATTGGCCTTTAATTATGTCAATAATTATTTAGATGCAAAGGTAGCAATTAATATAAAAATAAGAAGTATCCATCTATTCTAGTAAACATCATTTGTATTAGTTAATCTAGAAGGAGGAGTGGATATTTCTTTTATTGTCTCATAATAAACTAAATTTCTAGGCATACAAATATTTCCCTTATAAAGAAAGGTATCGTAAATTAAAAATTAAGTTTCTGGATTATCAATAGAGAATTTGGCTTAACATTATTTAACAATAGAATTAGGCATACATTCTAATTATATGGGCACTATATAATTTGATTGTTATATGTACTGCTATTCTTATGATCAGGTTTTGGACATGATTTTACACAGACTGTTTAATGTAAAGTATTAGGAGTTGGATTAGTGAAATAAATGTAAGGATAATCTCTGGATCCAAAATCAGCACCACATGCAATTCCTATGTATGATTATTCAAATTACCATCTGGATCAAATCCTCTTGTTAACTTTTCAGATTAACCAAAGAGAATAGCTGTAAATGTTAAAGAAATGAAAATCACAATGCATGTTTAAAATGCGATCTTGACTATCATTATTGGATCAATGAGCATTCAGTTATTAATTATTATATAAAAATATATAGATAGTATTAATTCAATTCACAGTGTAAATAAAGTATTCAATAGTTTCAACTATTTAAGATGAAACCTTAGTTCTCTTTCTAAGATTCTATTATATTAAATGCAAAGTATTCATTTCAATATCTTCTCTTTAAGTGATTGGCTTCTATATTAATTTTCGCTAAGGAGAGAATTATATTTCTTTTTAGTAGTAAATCTACATGTACAAATAAGTGACCTTTTCACTTGTACAAAGAATGACAGTAAAATTAATGATTTGGAATTATGTTAGTATTGAAGTGTTTTCAGTTTTGTATGCAACTTTAATATGTTTATTAAAGCAAAGGATATCTTAAGAAAGTGGAAGATTAGCCAATATACCTAATATACTACTTGATATAAAAGAGCTAGTCATTAGGTTTTCTTAAATTACTTTTAATCACTTATCTAAAATTATCTTTTAGTTTTGTTCTATTACTCTTTTGTTATGATTACTTCTAAGACCCAAATTTCAACTAGAATCTTAGTATTCCATTTCTATATGTAGAAATTAATGTATAATCTTAAATCTGAATTGTTATTCATCCATATTCCCTTTATTTACCATATATTTAAAATATTAGAATAACTCAAAATTCTTAATCTATTCTCTGATTTAATATAAGTTCAGTAAACTCATGTAACAACACTTAATGTGGTTTTAATATTTAATAAATATAATAAAAAATCAAAAATTTAAAATTATTTTTATCAATTCTCTTTCTGCTTAATCAAGCAATTATTTATTTCTAATTTCTCTAATAAAATTTGATTATCCTTTCAAAAAATCTTTAATATGTTATTTATAATTTCTCTCCTTATTATGATTCTATGTCAAATATAATATTCTCTATTCATTTTCATTATCATTTAAACGATTTACAAATTTCTGAAATGAATAATTAACTGAATAATAATATAGAGTAGCTACATTAACACTCTTTAATAAATCTACTGCATATTAACAAATAGCTCTAAGTATACAACAATATTCTTATTTTAATTATTATTCTTCTTATTTATTTTGATTTTTATCATCTTATTTAATAAAATCCTCTAAATCTTCATCTATACATTCACTTATTTTATGCATTAGTGGTGTATATTTGATTTTCCAATAATCTGGATTCATATGTAATATTTAATTTTATAAATAATCTGGATCCTCTAATAATTTATGATTATTTATATCTCCTATAAAAATGTAAAGTAAATCAAAGGTTCTATTTTCTGTAATATTCTTTTATAAATGATCATCTGCAGTATTCTCATAAAAATCAGACATCTTTGATTTTACTTTCACATTACCATTGATATGTTTTAATTATATAGAGGATTATCTTTAAAAATCATTAGGTTAAATTAAACGAGTTTTAGTAGTAGTAACTAGTTTTAATGCTTCTTAGTAATTAGTTTATTTTTTAATCACATTATGTAAATATTTATTAATATTCATCTATCCTTTCTATGATAATGAGTCAAGGAAATCATTAAAAATATGTAAGGATTCTTCTTCAACTTATTATTTAGTAAAAGGATGAAATGCAGGAATTTTAGTGATAAATTTTTCAATAAGAGTATGTTTCACAATTTCCAATATTCTCAATATAGGGAGTATAGTTAATATGTAAATATTGTAATATAAGATTTCTTCTTATTTATTACATACAAAATGTTATTCTTCAGGATGAATATTATCTAATATTTTTTATATTTATCTTCTTTCCTTTTTTAACTTGATTAGACTTAAAATAATGTTAATTTTCATTATTATATTAATGATTAATTTGGTATATATATATATATAGATATTTAATAAGTTCATTTCTTTTTCTGAAACAAAGAGTTATATTGTGTATTAATCGTGGATTTATTGAAAACATTAGTTTTAGAAATCGAACCTTGTGATCCTTTTCTTGAGAATTATTATTGAGACAGAGTAGCTTACATGGCAGCAGTCAAAGTACTCTATAATTTTTTATCCAAAGAAGATTTTCTACTACCTTTATTAATAGGACTATTAGAATCCACCATAGGAAACATCTATTATTATTTCTTATAAGTAGGACTTTGATGTGTCGAGACCTAAAACTAAATATCTTCTTATGAAGTAGTTTTTCTCTACAAATATTAACCTTAAGAGTAGGATTATGATTTCTAATGAAGAGCACGACCAGGATGTTAAAATTCATTATCAATATTAGATGTTTCTGGATCTTTCTTTATTATAGAGGATTCCTTTTTAGTAGGAGATGTAGATTTATCAACACTCAAATTAACACTCCCATTATTTGGATTTCTAATGATTAATGATTTATGTTCAATCCTCTTCTTTTAAACTATACGATTATATAAAGCATTCTAATATTCCTTTATTGAATATTTATGATTATCATTCATCAATGTTTCAAGAGGAGAATCTATATTGTTTACTATATATTAATAATACCTCTCTTAGATTCTTCTTCTGTATTTTTAAATTCCTTAATATAACGATGTTCTAATGCTTATTCTACAGTCATTCTTTTAGTTGGATTGTAAACCAATGTTTTTCTTTGAGATTCATAAATATATTAAAATTTACCTTAGAAAATCAATAGCATCTTCTGGAGCAGCAGAAAAATATTATGCAAAACTCTTTTTCTTTTATGTATTGAGACTCTATAAAACCTATTCTGCTAATGGAGCTTGTATTGCTTCTAAATCCTCAGGTTTTGGTCGACCACAAAGTTCTATAATTCTTTCAATCTAATTCAAAGTAGATGTTCCAGGGAATATTGCTTTACCAACTATCATCTCTCCCACTATACATCCTAAACTCCACATATCAACTGCTTTGGAATAATACTGAGATCCCAATAATATTTCAGGTGCTCTATACCATCTAGTTGCTACATATTCAGTTAATATTGGATTTGTGTTGTCATCTGGTTTTGCTACACTCCTTGCCAATCCAAAATCTGCTACTTTCACTTTACATTCTGAATTGATTAGTAAATTAGAAGGCTTCAAATCTCGATGTATCACTTCTCCAGTATGAAGATATTTTAAACCTTTCAACACTTGATAAACGATGTATTTTTTATGAATAGGTTCAAGAATATTTGCACGTATCACCTATTTCTTAATCATACATACATACCTTATGTAAATCTGTCTCCATGTAATCAAATACCATATACAAATCTTTATTGTTCTCTGCCTTTATGACTGATGTTAATTTAATTATATTTTCATGATTGTTGAGTTACTCCAAAAATATCACTTCCCTAAATGTTCTCTATGAATCAGTAGCATTATGGAAAGCATCAAAAATCTAAATCAAATAAACTACATTACTTTCTTTAGTGCCACAATCTATTTTGTTTTACGATCAACTGCCTTCCACACTACTCCATATGCTCCTTTCCCCTTAAATTCAAGCAATTCAAACTTTTTCAGTATATGATCCTCCACCTGACATTATTCATCCTCTTTCGCTGACTATTTGGCTTATGGTTACATATAAAATTATATAATATATATTATTATTTCTAACATACAAAATTGCATTATAAAATAAATCATCAATTATTATTAATCTCAAATACTACAATATAAAGTTAACATAAATCAATTGTATTATTCATTAACAATTATTACTGAATCCTTAAATATTACAATACCTTTACTTTATTATTACTATTTCATAAATATTAATATAATCTCAACTTTTATTTATATAATCTAACAGAAGATTATTCATCAATTAGATAATATTCCTTTATTTTTAATTCCTACATTAAATATCTATAATTTGTTAGTAAATGTTATTATATTTTATTAATCCATATCATATCAATAAATATAACTAACAATCTTAAACTAAGATTACAATATTTTTATATATCTAACTCAATTTTTGTATTTATATAATTATTGTTCCAAATATAGTATTAATATCTATATAAATCTATTCTAATAACTTTTTAAATATTTTAACATTATATTATTTTCTTCAGTATCATACACACTTAATCTATGCCTTATTTATTTTAAAATTGAGTTGTCTATCAATACTATTAATATTTTAATATAATATGCTTAAAGGTGTAAAAGTAAGAAAGGTTTATGAAGATGAAATTGAAGAACCTGTTAGATAGAGTAATTACTTATTGTTGATTAATAGAGAAAGTTAGAATAATGGATGATCAATTACACAAGTAAAGGATTAAGGAAAAGGGACAATAATTTGATGATTTAGAAGATGATGATCAAAAACCAGATAATTAGAAAACAAAATAAGAAAAGTATAAGGAGAATTAAAAGAAGGGTGAAATGTTGTTTTAGTAAAGATAATAATAGAAAGCAATTTCTGAATGTGAATTTTGTTTGAGCAATGAATAATTAAGTCAATATTACATTCTAAGTTAAAGTACTAATGCAATGCTTGTATTGCCAAAATCAAGTAAAATTATATGAGTTATTTTAAGGGTTTTATAATGCTTATACTCATATATTAATAGTGCCAATGGAACATGTTTAATGTATTAGAGATGTAGAAGATGACACATATGAAGAAATTAGAAACTTTTAGAAATGTTTGGTAGGTGCTTTTGATAAGGTGAATATGGAATGCATCTTTTATGAGAATGCTTTTAAGTTTAAATATGTTCCTCATGCAATTATTGAATGTGTTGCTATACCATATAAGATTAGTAAGGAAGCTAATTTAAATTTATATTTCAAATAAGGAATGGATGAATTGGATGGATTTTGGTCAACTCATAAAAAGATTATTGAAATTCAAAAGAATAAGGGAGGAATAAGAAAATAGATTCCTAAAGGATTTGCATATTTTTATGTAGATTTCAGTTTAAAATTGGGATATGCTCATGTAATAGAGAATGAAAATAATTTTTCATCTAATTTTGCAAGAGAGATATTGGCATCAATATTGAGTGTAGAAAAATCAAATGTGTTGAGTCCCAAACCTAGAACTGAAATAGAAGCCAAATAAGAGAATGATGCATTTTAATTAATATGGAAATAATATGATTGGACAGTATTAAGATAATGAATATTTATTGGAATATTTTAATAATTTATTTTTATTTTTTATGTTAAATTATACAAAAATAGTAAGATTAAGAGATTACGAGAATTGGTTAATAAAATTAATATGTAAATAAGATGTAAGATAGAGTAGAGTTAGATGAATTTAGAAGTTGAGAAACAATATTAGAAGGAGTATTTGAATACTTTATATTTGGAGAAGAATTTGGAAGTGGGCAAATTAAAGAATTAATATAGACAAGATGTTTAGAATTGTTAGATTTTATTGAGTAATAGGGATAAGATAATAAAAGAGTTCATTATTGAATTACAATAACATAGATAGAAATCATTAAAGTATATGGACAATTAGAAAATTTAATGTTTATCATAAATTCTTGATTTGTCTAATGAATTATAATTATTAATATTGTGATTATGACTCTATAAAAAATTAAATTTTATATAAATCTATTTTGAATTCTAGTAAATATGTAAGTATTAAATAATACAAAATGAATCAAAGAGAATAATAGTAATTCAATAATATTTAGGAGAGAGTGTAAGAAATAAAAAAAAAGATTCAAAAGCCTTAATTCCAATAACTTTACTCCCCTAAATATTTGAGAGAAGGTATTATTTAATAGAATCTCAATTTTATGAACTTAAAATTTATGCCATTTCCTTAATGGTTTACCAAAAATATAAAAGTAATTAAACCAAAAAATTGGTTTGATGATATACCTATTTTAGTAGGAGTGGATGAAATTAAAGAATCAGAGTAAATATATTATTAGCAAAAGTAGAATATGCTCTATATGTTTATAAGAGATTAATGAAAGAAAATTAATTAAAATCCTAAAATGTAATCATTATTTCCATGATGATTGTATAAAAGAATGGGTTTTAAGAAAAGCAGAGTGTCCTACTTGTAGAGACAATATTCATTGATAATAATAATTTAGTATATGGAATATCAACAACAACCTTTTTTTTTTGTATTTTTAGTTTTATCTGTAGTCAACATTTCAGTGTCTTTATTTGCAGAATTTATAATTTTTCTAATATTTCTAGCAAGTGAAACAAAAACTTCACTTACATTAATTCCCATTTTTGCTGAAGTTTCAAAGAAATTAAGATTATGTTTATTGGCCAAAGCTTATCCTTAATCTTTTGAAATCTATCTCAATTCATCAAGATCAGATTTATTTCCTACTAATACAATTGATACTGTATTAGTATCAATATTATCTTTGATTGACTTGGATTAAGTTAAGTTTTACTTCTAACCAATCTTCTACATGTTCAAAACTGCTTTTTGATGTTATATCATACACCAATACAAATCCTTATGCTCCTTTAAATGTATTTTTTGTAATAGATTTGAAACGTTCTTAACCACATGTATCCCATATCATCATTTTAATAGTTTCTCTTTCATTCATTTAAATCATCTTTACTCTAGAATCAGCACCAATTGTAGGAAGAGAATTCATTTTAAAATTAGTATCACAATATTATGTCATAATATTTGTCTTTCCTACTGTTGTATCTCCAATTATTACTACTTTTACTAACATATCTATTTTTTCCATTATATAAAAATATAATTATATAATTATCTAATTTTTATTTATCTTGTCTCAATCCAATATTGGTTTCGTATTTGGTTAAATGGGTAAGAACCAAATTAATGGATTGATACCAAACACTTCAATAAAGTTCTCTAAAGCACTTTTCTAAAATGGTTATCTAGGTTTGTTTTCACAATATTCAAGGGTTGTGATGTTTGATTTGATTGCCCTATTGATCTCATTATAATGAATTAAATTACCATAAATGGAATAATGTAAATGCTGTTAATAGTATCCACAAAAAACAACAATACAGAAAAGTAAATGAAACTAAAAATAGTTTACTATCAGATTAAAATGAATTTAAAGTATCATAATAGCAACGACTATAAGTAATCATTATAAAACTTATAAGTAACCCTATATAGATATATTTTATACATGAATAAAAAAGTAGATTGATAAACAATTTATAATTGTTATAACCTATGCAATTATTGAGCCATTAACAATGATGATCCATTTTTAACCAACATGTTTTACATTAACGACAATGATGACTACGTTTTGGTTTGAATGTTTAACAGTTCTTACAAAATCTATGACCAGATTTATCTATCAATTCCAATTTAGCTTTAGTATTGAATTATAATCTCTATTCATCATCTATTTCTGAAGAGAATGATGTTGATGTCTATGAACCTTTTTTATGAAAATTGATCATATTCTCCTCATTTTCTATCATCTTATTAATCTCTCCTTCTATTTTATTTAACCATTCTTTTGGTACTCTACCAGGTAATGTTATTACTACTCTTATTAATGTAATTATAAAGAGAACAAGTATTGTATGCAATAATATTGTAATTACCACTGTAGAATTGCTGAAGACATAGTCATTTATGTGTACTAATTGAATCAAGTAAGTGTTTATTTCTACTACTGGTCTTTCAATATACTCTTATCTTATACGAGGTAACAAATAGGTCTAAAAATTTAATAGGTAATCACATACTTATATATATACTCCATAAAAGAATACAAATATTAATACTAATATAACAAAAGGCATCCATGTTCCAATATAACAAAGTAATTATCCTTGCTTATAATATTTCATTTATTTATTTATTTATTTAAAAACGTATTTATGGGAAGACAATGATGAAGTAACTATGCATTACTTATATTTACATATAATTAATATATATATAAATTATTAAATATAAATGAATTAAGGAGATAAACCAATGTTGTAGAAGTAACAATAAGAAATCATGGAAATATTCAATGAATTCAAATCTCCAGAAACTAATTTATTGAATGTTAGTGAGTTCTTGGAAATTCTACAAACAACTGGACTTGATAGGAATTGTGAATTGTTAGTAAAAAAATTAGAAAATCTCAGAGGGAATTAGCTAGACTTAAATCAATTTACAGAATAATTTAATTTCAACTACAATCTATTTGAAAATTTCGAAATGATTTTTTAAATCATGGACACAACTAATTCTGGAAAGATAAGTAAAGATGAATTAAAAAAATAAAGTGAATTTTGGGGTATATTAAATATATAATTATAAGGATTATAATTATCTGAAAGAGATATAGAAATTATGATAAATTATAGTGGAAGTGATGAATAAGATTCAGTATCTAAAGAGAAATTATGGAGTTTGTTGTAACAATATTAAAACAATAAAATGCTATAATGATTATTTAATATTATATTATTTATGTAAATTGTTGGCACTTTTATTATTGAAATGATAATGGGATCTACATTAAGTATGATATAATCATTTAATGAATAGATTGGACAATTCTTAAAACATATGCTCTTAATGAATTAGGTGAAAAAGATAAAGAAACAAACTTATAAAAAATAGAGTCATTTCTCTTAATAGTTGAATTAAATTTAGGAATGTTTGCAAGAGTATAAAAATTTAAATGTATTTTATTAGTTGTACTTCAATAACTATTTTAATCGGAATGTTAAGATTGTAGTACTACTCTTATAAATTTTAATTTATTCATTTAGTTTATTTCTTTTTGGATTCATTAAAGACATGCCATTAATTTTGAATATCTTACCAAATATATATGTCTTTTTATTAGGATTAATATTGTTAGATCCTATGGACTCTATGTTGAATGATAATCCACTTAATTTCGGTATGATGTAATAATCTACATAGAGATAAATGTATATGTTAATTTTTAGGAGGGATTTCATTTGGTTGGTTAATCTTTGGATTAATACTTTAATTGTTGATAAATCCAAAGATTGAAGATTTATCAGAGAATATTCATTATAGAAGAGGTTGTTTAATTTATGCAATGATTATTTTAATTTTGGGATTAGTAGGAACTTATTTATGGTTTCCAAGATATTCAACTGTTGAAGAGGAATTTGATTCTAAAGAAAATTTGAGAGGTGCAATGAATTAAAAGAATATTATCCATAATACATTTTTAGTATAAGAGAAGAGAATGTATAAGGATGAACGTTTTTATATGATAATGTACTAATTTATAATGTTATTTACTCCTGCTATTGGTAGTCTTAATTACATTAATTAATAAGGTGAAGATATATTTATAACTTATTGTGTTATGGGTATTTCCACAACAATAGGATCATTTTTACCAATTTTAATAAGTCAACCATATAAAATTAATATAATTGTAGCTTTATGTTAAATAGGTATGATGATAGCATTAAATGGTTTGGGAATAGTATATGGACATCTAATATTAAAATTAATTTGTTTATCAATTTAATTCATGTTGTTTGGTTTCATTTTGAGTTTTAATGTGATCATTTTATAAACAACATATGATAATGTAGTAGATAATATTCCAATAGCTTTTATTGCATTAACATTAGCTGTATTATCTCAATATATAGTGTTTTTATTTTTGGAAGATAAGAAATTAATTTAATCAATAGAATTCTCATTGATTTTGTTGTCCTTCTTGATAAATATTTTAATGAATTATAAATAATGAATTATAATTATTAATAGTAATAATAATCTAAATTTTATCATATTTATCTAGATTTATTAGATTTATTAGATTTATCAGATTTCTTCATAACTAGAATCCATATCTTTTATAATTGGTTATTCTTACTAATTAATTTCATTTGAATATCCATATTGATAAGTTGAAATATCCAAATTCAATATTTATTATTATTATTATTATTATTTAAAAACAAATTCTTTTATCAATTCTTATTTCTCTTTTATTTATATAAGTTATTCCTCTTTCTTAATATCAGAATACTTGTAATGTTCTAAATGTGCAAAAGAAAAAAAGTTTATTTACTAATTAGCTTAGATATCATAGATTAATTCAATCAAATCTTCAAAATTATTCAAATAGAATACTAATCCAAGTGAACAATCAATTTCCTTGTCATTCATAAATATAGCTTCACTTGGAAAACATGATTTAACATATTCTTCAGTATTCATCTTAGCTTCTTATACTATATGTGGATCCAATACAACAAATTTATTATCAACAAAACCTACAATGAAATTAGCTTCCTTAGGTCTACCTCCCAATATTCCAGCAAAATATTTCCTCTTCATAAATTATCTAATTGCTTAAATATAATCTGGATTAGGTTCATCACATCCAATTCTACTTAATAAACACACTGCTACTGCTCTACTTGCAACAAAACATTTTTAACATATATATTTCTTTAATAACATTCTAATCTCCTTCTTATTCTATTCTTATTAATCTTCATAACAAACATCATTAATTTCATCATTACCATTTATAACCTAAACTACTTCCTCCTTACCAATTTCCAATTTCTCTAAATCTTATAAGAATTATTCAATAAAAAACACTCTTTTTTCACAATGACAATTCTCTACCATACACATCTCTTATAAAATAGCCTTTAAATCTATTTGACTCTCATAAAATGGAATAAAACTCAAACTACAACAATCTAATACTCTTAAATTATAAAATTACATGGTATATTATTTTCTGATAGAATTTTTTAAATAGCTTATACAATTTAATTTGGACTATACCATTCCCCAGGTTTCTTACCCCATTCCTAATAGGCTATTCTCATTATCTTCTAAATCGAAAACCCATACTTTAATTATCTCTCTAATCCTTTCAAACTCTCCATTTCATCATCATCTTTAAACAATTACAAAATTTCCTACAATAGTGATGGAAATGAGAATAAATCCACATTATAGAAACACTTCAAATGTCTTTTTAAGAGTTCTGCCATCATCATTTATCCTACTCTTATTAAACAACCCCATCCAGAATCAGTTGTCAAATAACTATCCTAACATTGATATGCTTGAAATCCTTATCTATAAGTAAAACGTATAGTATGAATGACCACATTTAAAATATCTTCCTTTTTCTATATCAATTATCCCATAATATAACCTTCATCTTTTACTTCATATTGAAATAGTGCTCTATAATTGTAATTAGTTAAGTACCTAAAAAATGATAGAATCACTTCATTACCATTTTGATAAGATCTAATGACCAATTTATTACATATTATAAATATATATATATATATATATATATATTAAATTATCATTCATTCCTTCAAAATAAACACAAGACATTTTACTATTTAAATAGCATCACTCATTCCTGTAACTTTTACAACCACATCTAAATTTTATCTAATAATTATTTTTATCCAATGTCTAACTCTTATATCTTATAAAGTAAATTCTCCTCCTAATTTTAAATCTTTCAATTATTATCTTTCATCATCTAAAAAATCTTTCAAATCAACTAAATAACATAAATTTGGAATGTATTTCTTAAAATCTAATACACTTTTAATAATTTTCTCATTCAATTTAAATTTCTCTGATCTATGACAAAATATCTTCTTCTCCTACCAAATATATTTAAAATATCTCCTCCCTATTGGTAAAAAATTCATGAATTGACTTAATAAACAAGGAACCATAAAAATTGCCTCACAAACCTTATCATCCTCAATCCATTAAAATTAACCTCTTATTAATTATATTTACCTTTTAATGGTTCAAATAGACTATATTAATATCCTATCAAGCAGGACATTTTACATTATTTTCTACCCATTATTTATGTCTCCATTTTATTTTAAGGTACCCAAAATTACAATCCTCTTGGTTCATCAAAAATTAAAGAACAATTTTCTAAGATCTTTTATCTTTTATTTCCTATATAAAAAGTTAATTCTAAAAAATTGCAATTAAGTTCTTCTTTTAAAATAAATTTCTTTATTACTCCTAACTATATTTCAGGAGAATCAAATAACTTTTATTTAGTTTTTATACTAGATAATTTAAATTTTTTTAATTAATTTTAATCCATTTAATTGATGTTCAAAGATTCCTTAACCAACTATCCAGAATATTATTTATCTGGTAATTGTTTCCTTTTGAATTTCTCTAATTCTATTTGAATTTTGTGTCTCAAAGCTTTTTCAGCTTCATGAAATGGATTCTTTTGTGGTTCTTAAACAATATTTGATCTTACACTTTTAGCTGTTCTATCAGATGGTTAATTTTCAATAACTAATATGGGTATTGAATTTTAAAGTTAATTATTTTATTACTGCAATTAATATTATTCTTAATGCAATTATTAAGGTAATTAATTTTATTATTTTAGTTATTAATTCTCTTTAATGGATAACTTGATATTTAATGATTTTGCTATCCATTCTTAAAATTAATTGAAATTTTTATATTTATCTTTTTATTGCTTATCAACTTACTTATTAAATTATTATTCAAAATATTATATACTTTTTAATTATTCTAATTACTCAATTCTTAAAATATTTTGTTTATTTTTAAGTAAATCTTCAATAGATAATATTCTCTCTGTAAAAGTAGATTTATAACTATCAAGCACTAAAGAATTAAAATATTATAAATATTACTGCAGATATGTTTTTCTTCAACAATAGATATTGATTATACTATATTAATTATTCCTTCAATATCTAATTAATGATCATAAACAGTTTGTTAAAATAACTGTAAAGTAAGTACTTCTCTATTTTGAAGATTTCTTTACAATTCAAACAATTAATTAGCATGTATATATTAATTTGGTAAATCTATTCCTTAGTTCATAAGTATATCAATGGCTTATCTGTATTTTTCAATTTAAGCAACGGTTCCAAAATATTTTAAAGTTTCCAAAGAAATCTAATTAAGAGCATTTTATTCATTCTAACATGTTTAGAGTATGAAATCATATAGTAATTGATCTTTATTTAAGGCATTTCTAATTTTATCTTATTAACTTAGATGGATGAGTAACTATTAATAAAATGAAGTATATGTACAAGAAGTGAGTTAATTTTGAGTTGTAATTTGTAATCAGAAGTCAAGCATTTGAATGTGTTTTTTATGTGTTTGAGGTCAGTTTGTGCATCTAGTATATTTGATATACTCTAAATAGTATGTATAAATGAGTCCATTATTAATTAATTATGCAACAAGTTTTCGATTGTCCAATATGTTTATAAACATTGTTATAACCAATTACTTTAACATGTGGTCATACATTTTGTAAACCATGTGTACGAAATAAATACTTTTATCAAAATTACAACTCATGTCCAGTTTGCAGAGCACCTATATAGATATATTTAAATTAGTTTAAAGTGAATATTCTTTTAGAGACACTTATAAAATAGGAGTTTAATAGTGAATAAAATTATTAGTTGAGAGTGTTAAATTACTAAAAGCGATTAGATTTAAGAAATAGAAGGAAATGGTATCACACAATGATGTTAATAATATTTGAATATTCTAAATAGATATGGAGAATAATTTAAAAGATGTTGCCATTATATTTAATAGGTATATATATATAAATGTAATAGTAAATAGTTTTGGTGATATTGATGTATATGAGTGTGAAATCTAATTTAAGGTTTGAGAAATTGTAAAAATAATTTACAAAACGTGTAAAACTTGAAAAATTAAGTGAAGAAATAGCTAAAATGGTATCATTATTGAAGGCTGATAATTAAGATGCAAAAGATTTGGATATATAAAATTTAGTATTTTCTAAAATAGTAAAATACTTATTTACAAATTGTGTAAGATTTTGAATGTTTAATTTATTATTATATTCATTAAACCAATTATCTTTTATTTTTATCTTCTTCTCCTATTTCAAAATAACATTTATATATCCTTTTATCTTATATCATTTAAACCCATCCATTTAATTTCCCTTCAACAAAATTACCTTAATAAGTTATTCCATCTCTTTTCAAAGTACCTTTACCATGTCTCTATCCTTATTTAAATTCACCTTTATAATATTAATAATATACCTTCATAAAAATCTCCTAAACTTCTAATATATACACCCTTTCCATCTAATTTACCATCCTTAAATTAACCTTCTTATCTCCAACCATTTTCCTTTTCTATTAATACACCTTAACCACAAATTTAATTATTTTCAAATTCTCCTTCATATATAAATTATTCATTTTCTAATTTTCCTTTACCTTATTTCATTCCTTTTTTAAATCCTCCAATATATTTCTCTTTTTTATAACGATATTCACCATTTTCATCATTTAATTCTCCTTAATAAAAATTACCCAAATATATTCGTTGATCCATATATACAAGAACACCTTTCAAAAATTAATTATCTTTAGCATCACCTTCAAATAAATAATTTTCTGTTATAATTAATCCTTAAACAAAGATTCCATTTTACCAATATCCATAAAAATATTTTTATTCTTTATCATTATATTCTTATCCTCTTCCATTTTACTTATCATTATACCAATATCCTTAATAAACTCTATTTTATCCAACATTCTTTGCATTCTAGAATACAGCATCCTTAACTTCATAATTAGAATTAAATTAAATGGCTTTTATTTTAGCTCTAATAAATGGTGGTACATCAATTAATCTCAAATTTTCTGGGATTATATCTTAAGAAAATGGAACTTTTTCAATAAGTAATTTTAATTGTAGTTGTAATATACATTCTTCCATCATTTAGATTTTTTTTTCCATTATATAAATTTTTTATTTGTATTTATCTTCATATATTCTCTTTATTTAGTAAATATATATATTGATAATTATTTATTTATTAGAAAAGGTTAGTAAGTAATAAAATATAATTTTTATATATAAATTAATTAATGGAGGAACCAAAAGTTGAATTGGATGATTTAGAAGTTAATTAAGAACGATTAAAATAAAATACAAATCAACTTAAAAATCTTAGAGTATATGGATCATTAAATGCTGGTATTATTGCAGGTATATTGGGAATGGGTATAAATTAATAAAATAATATTAGATGGATGGATTGGAATTGTAATTTATATTGCAATATTCTTAATTGTTAGTGCTTGTTTAGCAATCAAAATGAATTTCAAAGTTAAAGAATACTTCAGATCAAGTTATGATGCATATTATTCAGGAATTGGAACAGATTTGTTATTATTCTTAATGATTTGGGTTATTTTCCATAATTTAGTCAATATATTATGAAATTCAGCAATTTTATATTAATCAAATATTTATTCATCTTAGTATTTCTTGATTATCAACAATTATTAAAATTTCTATATATAAATGGATGAAGAATCAATATAATTAATAATAGATTATATTCTTGGATTAAGTGATATATTTGATTTCGATACAGATAGACTATATAAATTGAAATGTAAATAAAACAAAGACTCTAATAAATTATCATATAAACCAAAAAGTAAATTCATTAATCAAATCTCTACAGAATTAAATAATTCATTAAGTGTTAAATTTGATCATATGAGAGATTAATAAAAACAACAAAATGATGCCATTATGTATAAATTTAATACATAAGATTATACTTTTTAACAGCTTACTTAATAAATTAAAAATAAACCAACCCAAGAAGATTTATATGATATTTAAATTGAAATACGTTAATTAAAAAGAGAACATTAAGATGATAATAATAAAATCTAAAATCAAATCAACAATTAATTTACAACAATTTAATAAACACTTAATTCTTATATAAATACTTAAGATTTTAATAAACTCTTTGAAGAATAAATAAGTGACCATATGTCTAAATTATAAGCTAAGTGTGCTCCTAAAGATCTAACTTTTTAATAATTAGATCTATTAGATTGTAGATTTCATCATGTGAGTGAATAATTAATTGAACTTAAACGATACACTAATACTAATATAAATGCAGTAATTAACAAATAAGATGTATTGAGTAATTGATAACTTTCCTTTTAGTTCATTCTCTCAGATTTAACTACTACTGTGAAATTACATGAATTTAATGAATTTATTGAAAAATCCAAATCATTTACAACCCAATCACAACTTTCATCATTGTAGAATCTCATCTTACCAAAATTGAAAGAAGTATCAGACATAGTTGATAACAATAGAAATGATATTGAAGGATTCCGGAAAATAATCAAAGCAACAGATTATGAATTATTACAAAAGTCAACTAAAATGGATTTTTTAATATTAAAATAAGAAAATGAAGAAAATTAACTTTAATCTTAAAAAATATTACTTTAAATCTAAGAAATATCAAAATAGATTAATAAAGTCTATCAATATTATGATGAATAAAGATTATTAATGAGTAAATAATTAACAGAATAAATTATATGTAAAATAGAAGAAACTATTAAACTAAATGTTAATTAATAAATGGAAGTTTATAATCTTTAAGATATTGCTTAATAAATAGATTATATTTAAGATTTTCTAAAACTTAAGGCTAATAAAATTGATGTTTTAGATGCCTTAAAATTAAAATCGAATCAAAAAGAATTCTTGATTTTTGAAGATTAAATCAATTTTATGAATTAGACTATTAAATCTTAAATGAGAATATAAGCAGAGTTTATGGAATTATTTGGAATTAATACAGATAATGAATCTGTTAATTTTAAAAAGAATGCAATTTAAAAATTAATCTTTGATGTCAAATCTCTTAAGAATAGTTTCTAATAAATTCATTAACCTACTGGAATTGAAGATGTGCCAATTACAACTAGATAAAGTACAACAAAAAAAAAATTTAGTACATCTCCTAAAAGTAATGGAGTCAAACTATTCCTAAGACCCTTATTATCCAACACATTTTCTGTTTAATAAGCAAAAAGAAATAAAATGAATGCTTCAATGATATCATGATCATTTTTAACTATAATTATACATATTAAATTATTCTAAAAGTTGTTTCTATATTAAATAAAAATAAATTAAATCTTGATATAAAATACTAATAATCTACTTTTTTTTATTTATCATATTTAATTCATTATTATTTATATTTATAATGAAATAAAAGCTTATAACTATTTTATATCATTTATAATATTTCTTTAATATATATATTCTTTTTTTGATTAATATTTAAAATTATTTATAACATAAATATATTTACAATGAAATAAACTTTCTTGAATGGTTGCAAGTATTTTGAAATGTTTAAATAGTCAAAAATTACAATTATGGCTTTTGACTTGATATTTGACTTTTAATAGTAAAATAAATCATTTTATTTCTCACATCTAATTTGAATAAATCGAATATATATTGATATAAAAATAATTGATGGATTAACCTTACCTGAATGATCTTCCTGTTAGTCATGTTTAGATACATACACCTATTGGTGAACAACGACTATTATTTTAAGATGCATTAGGGCAAATAAAATTAAGACAGATTAATGTATAAACAAGATTAAATGAACTTCTGATTTAAGCAATATAGAAATTAAGAAAGTATACAAAAATAAAGAATTTATCACTTCTAAGTAAATAATAATTATAAGCATTTAATGATGTTTCTAGTTGTTATATTTAATAAATTAAAAAAGGGAAAGACTCTTCTTAATTTGAGAAATAGTATTATTATATACAAACAGTAGAATATAAGTTTATAAGTTTTAGTGTCTAATCTAATGTCTATGGTTAAACATAGAAGTTTTAAAAGTATAAAAGCAAGTCATCCAATGTTAATTTTTTGGAGTTTCTTAAAATTTCTGTTAGTATTACATTTATGTTTCATATTTCCATTATCAGATTCATTTATCTATCAATTAGATGAATTTATTGATATTTAGAGACCTATATTTTTTGTTGAAATAGCTATTCTGGCAATTGATATCATAATGAGATTGAATGTTTAGATATATAATAAGGGAACATTGATAACATAAACAAGAAAAATAATTATTTAATATTTTCGAAAAGAATTCTTAATTGATTTTGGAGGATTAATTGGATTAATAGTTTTTTTGGTTTCAAATTTTACTCCTGTTAAATACTTATTCATTCTTAAGTTAAAGGAGTTGTCAATATTTATGGAAGTATTTAAATATGAAATTGATCCAAAAGGTAGATTTAAGAATCATCTTAAATTATTAAAACTATTAATCACAGTAGTATTG